GGCGGGGGGGGGGGGCGCACGCGCTTGGCATGCCTTGATGTGGGCCCCGATAGCCGCAGGTCACCGCGAAGACGTCGTGACGGTCGGAGGTGAAGGAAAGACCGTCGCAGATGTTTGTCAGCCTCCGCGAGACGGCCGAGGAGCCGAGCCCAACGTCGTAACCTTCGTTCCTGACCTTTGAATCCACGGCCGATTTCAAGTCCGCTCGGGTTTTCGTTCCGGCCGGGTCCCGACTCCGAGCGCGGATCCGGGCCGCGTGTGCTGAAGCGCGCGTCGCTCGCTCGTCTTGTCTTCTCGCGCTTTAAGGCGACGGACGGAGCTCTTTCCCGGTTTGTTTTGACAGATTCAAACACACACTGCTGACGCCCGCGCACACGGCAGAAGCGGAACGCGCGGTGCTGACGCGACCGCCCGCTTGTTGCAAACAAACTATGGCCCCCGCCCCCGAAGTGCCGGTCCAATTCCTGCGCTTTCATGTGGCGAAGAACGTCAACGATTGAAGCGGATGTCACTCCGTTCTGACCTTTTACTTGGAGCGGGAGTCCCCAAAGGGCGTAAATGCCTTCCTTTGCTCCTGGTGTTGCGAAAGGCGGCAACGATTTTCTCTCGACGCCGAGAGGACTTGGGCAATATTTTCACTGAAAAGGGATGTGCACGTTTCTCCGAGCTTTTCAGGCCCTGAAGACTCGCGCTTCCACATGACCTCGCCCATCTTTTCGTCTTAACGTTCGTCATCGACCTCAGAGCGCCGGATCTGTTTGGACAGCCGGCAACTGTTCGAAGCGCACGCGACCGACACCTACGGGAGCTCAGCTCGTCCCACCTTGACCTGAGCGTTCCTCCCCGGTCCAAAAAGTGCGCACGCGATACTAAAGCCTCCGGGTCCCGACCCTTATTCATCGACGCGCTTTTCTGCCGGGCGGCAGAGTGCGGGAAGCGGCGCATCGGGGCAGGTCTCCTCAAAGGAGGCGCTGCCGCGGCGCCGCCTCGCCCGACCACGCGGCGACGGAGCGGCGAGGAAACGGGAGCGTTGCGGCACCGGCCCGGCCGGCTCCGACCTCGGCCCCTCCGGACCGGAAGGCTCCCTCTCCCGCAGCTCGGCCGGCCTCCGGGAGGAGGGCCTGGCCCGTCGATTATTTGGGCTGCGAAGCCATTGAGGGACCCGACCGGAAGACCGCTCAAGAGCGGAACCTTTTGCGCGGGGAAAAAAAATGGACGCAAAGCGAGACTTGCCCGCCGTTGCCGGCAAAGACGGAACGTTGCTTCTCCGCTGGCCTAAACGCCACGGAAAGCACCGCGTCCGCAACGTCACTTCCAATATTTGGTCCTTGAAATTGTCTCGATTGGTTCCCAACGGCCTCTTCTCTTCATTTTGTCGACTTTGTCCTCGACCGAAGCGCTTCCTGTAAACACGCCACGCGAGCGTTGGATTTTTTTCATGCAGTCCGAGGTCAGCGTCCGCGTTGCCGTCTCAAAACTCATCTGGCCGGGGCCTTCAGAATCAGCACCGCCGGCCGACCCGTGTTACTTCGACTCCATGAGCCACGTCGTCGCCAACGGGAAAAAAGGCATCCGCATTTTGGCTCGTCCGAGCTGCGCGAAAGGGGCGCCTCGCGCTTCTCCTCGGAGTCTCATCCCGATCCCAAATCCGCCGCTTGGACGCGGTCCCGGCTAGGAGCGGAGATGAAGTCGGGTTTCTGATTTCAAGGGGAGATTTTTTGGAAATTCACCCAGGAGGCGTCGCAGTTAGCGTGTTTGCTTTTGTATGACGCCGCTGGAGAGGCACGGAGATGCCCCCGCCTCCCCCCGTGCCGCTGCGCACTTTCTCCACATGGGAGAGCGTTTAGTCCGTGATGTTGCGGTCTCGGTCGTGACATTCCTGCACTTAAAAGCCTGCCGTGTAAGTAAACAAGCTCACACATGTGGCTGCAAGATTGCTCTGTCCAGGGATATTTTCTTGGGAGACTTCGGTCCTTTTTGCTTCTGGAGCGGAACCGGGAATTCAAGCAAATTTGCCGGAAAACAAAAGCCGCATGAAAAAAAGGATCCGGCCGTCGTCGATGGCGCTCGTCCTCGTTCGGCTCGCAGGAGAGCTTGAGCGTTTTACAGATGACTTGGTGGCGGGAGGCCGGTTCCACCCCGGATGGGTGTCGGTCACCCCGAATCAGCTGGGAAAGGGCAGGCGGAGGGATTTGGTGCTTCACTTCCGTCCATTTACCGTGATCCTCTACGGTTCCGCCGTAGCCGCTTTGGTGTCTCGCCCCAGTGCGCCTCTTAGTGCAAGGGCACCCGCAGATTGCTTCTTAATCACACGCCATTCCAAGTGCGTCTTTCTTTGCCCAGCACTTGAGGACTGACGCATGTCATTGCTTCTGCGCCCTCGCCGCGCACCGACGCACAAACGCAGGAGGGCCACCGCGGCCTCGGCCCATTCGACGAGCCAAAGATTTGCCACCAACAATGGTCACGAGAGAATGCAATATCGGTAGAAAACACAGAGGAACGCTGAAGAGATTATGCTGAATTGAAATGCTGTGAAATAATTGAATCGTGGACTGGCAAAAAACAAAAACAAAAACCTTGGTGTTTTGGACATTTTAGAATGGAAAGTTTGGAATTTGTTTGCACCCAACGATGGTGCCAATGATAGCTTGATCGCTTTCAACGTTGCCTCGAACTCCTCAAGTTCATCCAATGCTACCTGAAACATGAGCGCTATTAGCTTTCGACTTGAGCTCCAATGTTAGCCTCCAACATTAGCTTTCAAATATCGGCTTCTGAAGTTGGGTTTCCACTGTTCCCAAAGGCACCGGGGCAGAGGAGCATAGAGGGGTCAGCTGGGGCCAGGCCTTGTAAAGATTTCAAGACAAATAGAAGTATTTTGAAACAAACTCGAAAACGTACCGAGAGCCGGTGACGGGAGGCCAGAATTGGGGTTAGGCGCTCACTCTTACGAGTTCCCACTAGGAGGCGAGCGGCAGCATTTTGGACCGACCGGAGACACCGGAGGGAGGACTGGCCGACTCCAAAATAAAGAGCGTTACGGTAATCTTGCCGAGATGTAACAAAGGCGTTTATGAGCCTTCCTAAGTGACGCTGTCCCTGTGCCAGCTGGCCAAGATGAAAGAAGCCGGACCCAACAACAGCCCTGATTCGCCGCTCCAATTTCGAATCATTGTCCAATTTAAAAGCTCATTTTGAGACTGCTGGCTTTAGATTGGGGCGCCCGGGTCAACAGGATGAAATGTACAAAAGACCGACCATCGAGACTTGTGTTTTCTTTTCATTGAAATTCAGTGACATCCGGGCTTTGATTTCCTCGAGCAAGGACAAAAGTGGTCTTTAGGAGAATGCATCCTTTCTTCTCGGCGGGACATCGATCTGACTGTCACCCGCGCAGCGGTGGAAGAAAATACCCTGTTTTCTTTGGACGGATGGGATGGAGGGGCAGCAAGTACAATGAAAACAGCAAGGGCCCCAAAATAGACCCCTGTGGACCACCATATGACAGAGGGGCAGAGCGGGCCTCAGAGCAACCTGGGCTAACGCCAAAAGTCCTGCCAAACCAGTCGGATCCAAGCTACTTTGGAGCGCTCTCGCTCATGGCCACTTGGCATTTGCTCATGGAGACCAACGTTAGTCGACGACTCCGACATTAGCTTCCAACATCAGCTTTCAATGTTACCTTCTCAAGTTCGGGTCACGCGTTACCGCTAACATGAGAGCCGAGGGAGAGCAAACTTTTCAACATTCCAATGATAGTTGACCACCCGGTTTTCTCTGCCGTGAACCCCCTCGGGGAGCGTCTGGCCTGCCTCCCCTGTCCTCGACTGGAATCTTCCATGATGCAGCTTTCATCCCGAATCGCCTCTGGCGTCTCTTTCCAGCAAAGGCAGTATTAAATGTCTCCTTATGGCTCGCCGAACCATCATGATGGAGATGCCGCAAACATTTTTTTTTTGGGGGAGGGGGGGCGCTTTTTAATGACAAGCATGGCTGCGCTTCGTCCGAGATGCCAGAGAGGCGGTACTTTGCGGTGGCGACTCTCGCCGAGGGTTTAGGAGGGAGTGGGGCGGGGTGGGCCGGTGTCGAGATGAAAGGCTCCAGTAGGTGGAGGATGGACCTCGCTCGTTAACATATCAGAGCTTCAAGGGCGTCCAGTGAGATCAAAGCGTCCGAAAAAGCATGAACGTAATCCATCAAACTCCCCGATGAGGACGTGAGAGAGCCTTTCACCGTCCCCTTAATGGCCTTTCATGAAGAGCCACAAAGAGAGCCTCATAATGGGCCTCAGACAAAGTCCGATGTGGCTTTTTTGTTTGTCATCAAACTCGACCAGCCCCCTTCTCCCACCGCCGCCTTTCGTGTCTTCACAAAATCAGAGTTTCTCAGGGACCCTTGCTGGGAAGACCCTCCTAATCCAAACAGAAATTGAACAGAACTACCACGTGTTTCAACGCCAATGTGAATGTCTTGAGCAACCCTTTCGACCTCAGCGCAGGGTTTAGCCGTCCCCTCAATCCCAGCAAAATAACAAACTCGGTAAATAAATAGAAATAACATGTCCACTACGTCAAGACGGACTGCGCAGATAACGAGCATCCCGACAACGCTGCGCTTCACCGTTGACACGATGAAAAAAAAAATCCTTCTGATCGGTTTGGCACCAGGGAGATTCCACGCCTGTGAAACCGAATGAAACCCCATTGCGGCATTTTCATTCTTCCTACGCCATTCCGACTGGAATGCAATTGGCCACGCTCCGTTGAAACCCCGGAGGCTGATATTGCACGGAAGGCGAGAACGTTGACTTATATTAACCTGGAGATGCACTGACAACGACTTTGCGTGCAAGGGTTTCTTTCTGTGCCAAGTAATTATAATGGACGGTAAAAATACATGTTGTAATCTTGTGCTGCTTGCCGTTTTGCTGCCGAGAGATTCCAAGTTTGATGGCTGCCGCTCAAGTTTTGCTGCAAAATCCTCAACATCTGCGAGATGAGAACAAATGAAAGACGACGACTCCCACTGACAGGCAGATGCGCTCAAGGTAAGACGCCGGGAGTTACATTTTCAAAGATGCCTTTTCCACGCTGTACTTGCACACCTTTCTTCACCGAAATTAGTCAGTTGGTATTGTTACTTTTCGAGTCTTTTTGTTTTTGTTTCGTTTTTTTCTTTTTGTGCATACTTTTTTTCCCACAAGTATGCTTCTTGAACTTCGGTCGCCTCCGACTAAATGATGATGAAGGTCTGGCCATATTTTCTCCTGAACGCGGCGGCAGCAGCAGCTGTCCCATTGTGATCGTCTCTCGTCCTTTTCTCTCGGTTTTAGTTTGAGGTTTTATTTTGATTTGGGTTTTTTTTTCCGCTCTTCTCTTTGATGCGGTTGCCCGGGTGCCGGCGAACAAAAGAGCTTCCGTCGGCTGGATGTAAGGGATTGTGGCGACGGGCGAGGAGGAAGGAGGGGCCGAATAAAGAATCAAAGTGAAGTGCGACGGCTTTTGGGGGCGGAGGAGTCCGTGTGAAGCATCGCGCCCACTGGGACGCTCACAGTTGTTACCGCTTCTTTTTTCTTCTTTGCGCTGCGTGTCATTGTGCCGCCGATGTGGCTCTGCTCATTACAGTGGGAAGGCCCCCCTAAAAAAAACAAAAACAGAGTTCAGGTACTACGATTTGGAGTTCAAACAAAATTTGGGGTGGAAAAAGGCCACGAGTTGGAAAAGATCGCGGGTTGATGTCCAAAATCAACTCGGTGAAAGCAGGGCCGGGGGGCACCTAAATAATGTCGTCATTACCCCGCCCCACCATTATTTCCACGTTTTCTCCTGTTGCGACGATCGCCCGCATCGTCGGCGCGAAAAGCCGACTCAAACGCATGAACTTTATTTGGGGTTCATTGGAGGCACTTGACACGCTCGCGGTTGGGCGTCTACTCCGATCTAACGTGAGTTTGAACGCGAGCGCGCTTAATTCCAAACACAGCGCGATCCCCGGTCGGAGGAGGGTGTGCACACTTGTGCCACCGCACTATCTCAGTTGATCATTTGTACTTCCCGCATCAAGAATCACTTTTGAGGGTCACGCGAATGGTGGCAAACCTTTTTCAACGCTTCATCTCGCTTCCCCTTTTTTCACCTCGAGCGGCGATTTCCCAAACAGAAGTTGATCAACATTTCAGCTGTGACATTTTTCATTCCATCAAAACAAGATTTTGATAAGAATCATGAACAAAAATAACAGTACCCCAACGCTCTTCTTTTACATCGTAACGTTTACCCAGATACACTCCGATTAATAGTAGTAGTAGAAATTGGGAGTTTCACAACTTCTGTAAGATGACTTGTTCTTCACTGTGGACAAAGAATAGATGAATATGTGTGTGTGTGTGTGTGTGTGTGTTGGGGGGGAAGCTCATTATCTTTGTCCTATTTTGCAATATGTTGAAAAAAAAAGTCCATTTTTGCCAATTTTAAGAGCTAATGCCGGCCGATGAATCCGTCAGGCCCGACATGTATCACAAGCAACAAGCGTACATGTCATTCGGTTCAGTAGTTTGGCATATTTGAGTTGAATTTCACAGTGGTACAGAACTTGCATGACGGCGACGAGTGTTGGCGTTTGTTATAAAAACGTCACGGGTAGGTTAAGCGTCGTAAAGCTTCGATGATCGTGACAGTTTGACGCTGGAACAAATTGATTGAGCGCGCATGATTTGGACACAGTCGGCGCTCCCGAGCCTTTGGTGGAGCCGAGCCAGCGGCTTCCTTTTCAGCCGGGGCCTCATTAAAGCCGACGACATCCCCTCGGCGCGGCCTCCGTTGTGGGGCCGGCCGGCTCGGCGCTCAATGGCAATTCAAGGGGTCGGCGAGGAGCGGGTATTAAGGGGCGCCGGCCGGCTTTTTACGTGACACCCGTCCTTTGACTTCCGAGGAGAAAAAGTGGAGTGCCAACTTCACTTCCGAGGTTCGCTGGTAGAAAAGTGGACGGATTGCAATTTTCTTGACAAAATGTGCTTTGAGCTCTTGAATGCTGCTCCCCCCCCCAATATCTGCGGAGAAATGTCTTCAGCGAGCAGCTTTCCAAGAAACCAGGAATGATTTCCAAGAATGACGAGCGCACTTGCCCTCTCGGCCGCCACGCGATCGGCCGCTTTCTTTGCCGAGGTCGCCATCCCTTTCCCGGGACTTCAAAGGCGCGGCAATAACAAACCGTTTCTCTCGGACGGCTCCCAAATCCCGGCGGCGGTGATAGACGATACCCCGGCGGTTTGTTCAGCTGCAGATGAGCAAACAGAAGGGGGACGCGAAGGCTACCGATGGCTTTGTTCCGACCCGGGCGGGGGCGGATCATCCGCTCTTCCTTTTCAGGTCGCGGCTGCCTTTGTTCGAGCGGAAAAGGCGGCCGCTCTCAGCAAATGTCCCCTTCCGTCACCTTTACGGGCCATGTGCCCTGTCCCTGTCCCATGCGGATTGTGGAATGCATTAGGAACGTACAGATCGGCGTTTTTCGCCCGGAACGAGGTCGGCCACCAATCGGAGGTCAGGAAAGCGTGCGCTTCATCGAGGGCCACTGCCCTGACCCCGCCAGGACGAGTTTTGCTTCAAGAAAAGGCCCCCCTTGCGCCCAGAGGGTCGACGTGACGCACGCAGCGGCGCTGGCGAAGGCCGCGCTGCAACCGAGGCTGAAATCTGATGGGACAAACACGTCGGAGACTCGCCGCAGCCAGCCGAGAAACGTGCCGCAAAATGAGGAGAGAAGACTGTGGGCAATTTCACGGGACGAATCCTCGAATCGCGGTTGTAAGCGCGGGTCGTGTTTTCCGACCGGCTTTCGGCCAGCAGAAAAGGCCAAGAAGGCCGAGTTTGGGGCGGAAGAACTTGAGCTCGGCAAAACACCTTTGGGGTGAGCCGGAGCGGAGCCACGCCCTTGACATCTGGGCTTCTTGAAAGACGAGCTCAAAGAGCGACAGAGAGAAATCCCAGACATCCCATCAGACTGGAATGAAAACCTACGGTGGGAAGGCCAAAAGTAAAAAGAGGGTGCGGATTCGGAAAACCTCAAAGTGTTTCACGGAGTTGCGTCACGGGTGTTGATGGATGCGCGGTCGGCGATCGTTCCGGAAGAAAAGCCGTGAATGAGCGCTTGCCGGCCTTCCGTTCCAAGATGAAGCAACACTCTGACCGGCCTCCGACGCCAACGCATCAACTCAATAAACTCATTTGGTAGGTCCTGGCACTGAAAAGTAATCACGGGTATTCTGGAGGGTTGGTCAGTTGGTTAGTCATTTGACTGGTTGGTCGCTCCGTCGGTTTCTTTGTCGGTCATTTGTTTGGTTGATTTACTTGGTTAAATGGAGTAAGTTAGTCACTTGGATAGTCATTTATGAACTGGCGATCACTTGGTTGGTCGGTCGGTCAATTGGTGGCTTCATTGCTGCGGAACTTGTCGAGTTCCCTGCGATTCTGCGTTGGGGCGGGTGGGGCCAAAAGGGGGGTTCAGACCCGTTAGAAAGGAGAGTCCATCAGGGCTATTCTCCGCGTAGTCCTGCGAGGTAAGCGCAATGCGACAATAGACGTGGACGCCGTTGTTCGCACGGAGACGCGTCGTCACTGCTGAGACCGTTTCAATTCTGCAGCTCAGCAAATCAGCGGCACCCGTCAGGTAAAAGCAAGTGTGCGCTTTCAAAGGGTGGCAAAAGGCAGCATTCACATGACCGTGACCAATACCCCATTCTCACACACACACACACACAAAATGGTCCAAATTTGGACGTTTTACTCCACTTTGGATCCGAGTTAGCAAAGGCCCGCTTGTTGGGAGTCTAAAAGATGATCACGAGCAAACAAATTGGCCAAGAGTGATTTTAGCTCAAAATCATTCTGGAAAAGGCCGGGGGCTAACCATTCTGTTCAATATTTACAATTGCGAATGCTAAGTGTTGTCGGCACAAATTTGGGTCGACCCCCGGACTCCGCGATTGAGAAACGAAACGGAATGGAGCCGGGCGCACGCGTGCCGATCGGCCGTTGCAAACTCGGTCGGGGAAGACTCACGCCCAAAACGTCACGTGGAAATCGCCCAAGATCATCTTTTCGACATGCGCTAATCGGGCCTTTGTTTACTCGGATGACTAGATCGGGCCCGATGATCCGTCGGCGCGCACCCCGCTCACCGCAAGTTGTAGCCTGCGAGGGAGGGCTTCACACGTTCCCAGCTGAAGTCCTAACCCGGGTCGACTTGACCGACGGTCCTTCCCGGCTCCTTTCCAAACCCGGTCAAACACGCTCTCGGGTTCACAGCCCCTCCTCCGTCTTGCGAAGGCTCCGAGTCTTCTTGATGCCGGCCGGCACTTGTGGCGGGGCCCTAAAAATAGAGCGCACCGCCGACCCCTGCGGTGCGGTCGGCCCAAAGTTTGACGCCTTTTGACGTCACCTCCACTCGCACGATATTTTTAGCGCTCTTTATTTTTTGGAGTTTGTGCGGTTACGTAAGGAGATTACTGTGTTATTGTGCCGGCGCTCGGAGGAGGGGCGACCGACTATAAGCGGGTATGGCTCCAGAAATAACCCTGCTCCGAGGCCTAATTGTGCATCCCTCTCGCTTCCCTGTCCCCTATTCCAGCGGCATGTCGAGGTCCCTGACCCGATCATCCGCCTCGCCGGTTCCGGAAGAATCCTTTCCCGCCCCCCGCGGCGAGCAAAGCCGGCGCAGCGGCGCACCATCCGCAGCCCGCGACTAACAGCCGAGCGCCACAAGCAGTTAGCGGTGATGCCGGCCCGGAGAAGCTGCCAGGTATGTTCTGATCAGCTAGCTCGGGACCCTCCTCGGACGGGGGCCCCCAAGGCCCGTGGGTGCCATCCTGCGTGCGTCGCAGCCGCCGAATGCGCTTTGTCCCCGCGCGCGCACACGCGAGCTCTCGGGCGACCGTTGTGGAATGCGCCCCGCCGCGGTGAGACGGCGGCGTGCCCACGAGAGGGGCCCAGGGAGGCCTCTCGTCTCCCCGGCGCTAATGCATCGCAGCCCCTTGCATCCAGCGCACGCAGGCATACAACGAGGCACGCGCCATTGCCTATTTAGTCAATCAGTGATTGCAGCGGTGGATCCGTGGGACACGTCTCGGCTTTGTCCTTCTCGTGATTCTTCTGCATCGCAGTCAACCCCCAACATTTTGCAGTACGCTACTTAGGAATTAATTCCCATTTTCTACCTTGATTCTTTCGCTGGAAAAAAAAAATCACTGAATGGACAAATAGGAAGTCTTGTTCATCAAAGAGGCAAAGATGTTTTGATGTCTGCGAGGAGCTGAGTTGAGGTTGTTGGCGAAATTAACAGAAAATCTTCATGACGTGTACGCTTCAGGTAAATATATATATATTTTTTTTTCGGTTTTTGCCTCCAGATGCAACAGAATGATGTCAAATGACTACTTTTCTATCAGACGGAGCCGATTTCAAAACACGCTCCTCCCCTCACTTGAACATACTTCCAAGGCACGCGAGGGCACAAAACTATGACTTTTCTGTTACGCAAGACATTTGTGGCATCTTGGGGCATGTTCGAGCGTGCTCAAAAACAGTGAATCAACAACACTGTAAAGTGGACCCCCGTGGACTCGTGGTGTGATGTTTGAAGAATTTGGGGGGTTAAAAAAAACAACAAAAAACAATCCTGACATTTGATTTCAATAATCCCAATCCCAATTGTAGTTCCACGTGATCAACACACTCAGCGCAGTGGGCCTAGCGTTTAAAACCGTGGACCTCAACCACCGGGCTGTTTGGCACTGTCCTGCAGATATCATTAAAGGTGTGTGTGTGTGTGTGTGTGTGTGTGCGTGTGTGTGTGTGTCTCTCTCTCTCTCTCTCTCTCTCTCAGGCCTTTATTTTGAAGGGTCATGACTTTGAAATCACACTAATACCCTGATCTTACTGAAATCCTGGTCTGGGACGGCACGGTGAGCGACCCGTGAGCTGGTCCGCCTCACAGTGCGCAAGGCCATGGGTTCAGTGGCCGGTCCCGGCCTTCCCCTGTGGAGTTTGCGCGTTCACCCCGTGCCTGCCCGTGTGGCTTTTCCCCGGGTACTCCGCTTTCCTCCCACATTCCAAAAACGTGCACGGTCGGTTCATTGATCACTCTGGATTGTCCCTAGGTGCGATTGTGAGTGCGAACGGTTGTCGGTCTCCGTGTGCTTGAATGGCCGGCAACCATTTGAGGGTATAGCCCGCCTGCTGCCCAAAGTGGGCTGGGATAGGCTCCGGAACGCCCGCGACCCTTTTGCGAGTATAAAGCGGCTCAGATAATGGACGGATGACCTCTCGGCCCGTTTAGCCGATGAACAAATGGAACATTCTCTCATTTGAATAGCGGCGGGTAGATAGGGTGGGCTCACTGCGCCGTCTGCCATTATGGAAGAGCATCGAGATGTTCCGTCTTGTCGTTCCAAATGGCCGGCGTGGATGGAGGGACAGCATTACATACGAAGGCGTGCGTAAAAGTGGCAGCTCGTCATCCGAACGAGCGGGTCGGCCCACGCCACAACTGGCACGCGGGCGGGATCCCCGACAGCGTCAGCTGTTATCAAGCCAACCGATTAGTGACGGACAAATTGGCCGCGCGTTCGGGGAAAAGGTGAACGTAAAGTAAGGCGGCGTGTGGATTTCCACCTTTCGCTCCCACTCACTTCCGGATGGACTCTCAGCTCGTGAGTCACACGAATAAATAGCGTGAGGTGTTCCGTTGACTCACAATGGAGGAACAAAGCATGGAAAATACCTTCCACCGCCATGAAAGGAGGAGCGGCGCCTCCTTCCCTTTTTCGTTTGGTGTTTATTGACCTTGCCACTGACACCCTGAACCTCTTTGGAGCGCGCTCCACGCTGTTTTGCTCTGTTTGCCTTACGACAGAACGTCTATGCGTGTGGTCTCTCGGGCCACGTTTGGCCCAACGCGCACACGCGTGCAACTTTCCCCCAGCGCCAGCGCTCCCCTTTGGCCTTCCCTCTACCTCTAACTAAACATCGCAGGACAGCAAAAGGGAGCTTCAAAGTGCCCAGAGGGGGTACTTTTTTCCCTCCCCCCTTGTTCCTGGCACTTGTCATCATCTAAGAGACTGGCTGCTCCCCTTATTACTCTAATTGCTTCCAACTGCCGCAGGAGGCTTTGATGCGGGGCGCCCGCCAAGCATGCTGGGAGCACCTGTTGTTGCGCAGGGGGAGCGCAGGTGGCGCGGCGCTGCATCTTGTTTTTTCCCGCAACACGCACACGGCTAGAAACAAAAACAAGGCAGTGTGGAGGCGTTTAATGGCACTTTTGGAAGCAGAGTCAGAACTGACACAAGTGTGGTGGGGGTGGGGGGACTACCAGTCGTAAAACACTCTGGTACCATCTTGTGGCAGCTAGAAGTCCAGCAGCTGAAAAAGGAAGGACAAAGGGAAGGTGTTAAAATGGTAGTGCCCAAAGCTGGTGAATATTTTTGCATTCTAACGTGGCAAAATATGCATGTGAAGTCCCAATATTGTTTTTTTGTATACTTTAGGTTGCCATCCTCATGTTCTACACTTAAGTATCTGTGCCTCTGAAGGTGGCGGCTCGAGGGTTTAGCGCGTCGACCTCAGGCTGATCGAACACTCCAAATTGTCCCTAAGTGTGAGTGTGAGCGCGGATAGTTGGTCGTCTCTCTGTGCCCTAGGATTGGCTAGCAACCGGTTCAGGGTGTCCCCCGCCGACTGCCCGAAAACAGCTGGGATAGGCTCCAGCACCCCCCCGCGACCCTTGTGAGGAAAAAGTGGATCAGAAAATGAATGGATGGATGGGCTCACAAGTTGTGTGGCTTTATAAAACAGGGCTTGGCCTGGTGAGTCACACGTGCGTCAATGAATGAGAGTCTCGTTGATGATTATTAGGCCAGTCTGCACCTCCCATGTAATAACATTTTGTACCCAAAATAACTGTAACTTTATTGTCGTGATGTTCATATTTTTTCTTTGTCATATTCCGACATTATTCTCACAACTTGGTTTTTGGAACACTTTTGCACAATATTACAGCTGTAATCTTGTAAAAAAAAAATGTTTTCTTTCTTATTTGTTTTTTAATACTGTACAGCTGGATTCGATTTTATGCATGTGTACCAAAATGCTATGATCAGTGAGTGTAGAATGTGTATCGCTCCACACCAGCTGAGGCAGGATCTTTTCAAAGTGCTCGATGTCCACTCGATCGCAATCCTCGCATTCAGCTTGTTTCTGAGAGCGCACGGTCGCCTCTGACAACCGGAACAACATGAAAATATCATCATCATCATCATCATCATCGTTGACTCTTAGGTAGAATAATATCTGTGTCATGGCAACCTTTACCTTGGACAAATATTTTCAGCATCTCTGCCACGAGTAATGTAGCCTCTACGCTTACTGCCACACAAGAGATTAAAGAAAAAAAAAGTTGAGTTGAGGAATCACAAGCACTTTTCATCAAAGAGAGTGAAAAAGAAAGAGAGAGGTTTTCCCCCCGCTCCTCTTCAATCCAGTTTCTGATTGTAATCTTTTTTTCTGCCTTAGCTTGTAGGAAAAAGAAAATGACAATGACCTTCTTCCTTCTGGGATTTGCTTTATTTCCCCTTAGATCAAACAAGCTTTGAAACTTTTTTTTTTCCTTGAGCAAGAATTTTTTTACAGAGCAGGAACTTGCATCAAATCTTTGGATCCATTTTTGTAGTGCAAGCAGTGCACATCAGCAGGCGATCTGCTTTAAATTACAGCAATTTCAAAAATAATTCTGATCAATAAACTCGAATTCATCAAAAACGGATGAATCACCCAGCCTTAGTCGCTCACTTACATCTGCTTTTGTCCTCCTTGAAGAAGCTGGATATAAGTTTACCCACAGTCTCCTGTGGGTGAAGCAGACAGGCACATTATTGGTTCACAGTTTTGTTTTTGTTTAGGGTTTTTTTTTGGGGGGGGGGGAGTAATAGTCGTAAATGTATATAAACAAGGTTTTAGATGATCTTTCAGTTCATTCACTACTTCTAGAACAACTCTTCACTGTATGTGAGATAAATATTCACTGGACATGGTTGCAAACGCGTATGACGTGCCCATCGAGCTCGAGTAGTTATGGCCCCCTCTTGTGGACTAATACGTCATATTTTTCCGGACTCGATATGAAAATGAGCGAATTTAACGCTCGTTCGGTGTACTGCGCCTACAACTGTCACATAACATCAGGAACTCATTTAATACATTAATATAATCTATATCTTGTTTATTCGGCTTTGGCAGAAATACAATTATGTCAGCTTTGACGTCACTTTTTATCGTCAAAATATTCTGTATTGACAGCGGTGTCGAAGAACAGTCCAGAAACGCGTTTATTTTCCCCCTCACTGAAACAATGAATCGCCAGTAATTTAGAATCTCACCAAGTAATAACTACAAGACAAAAATCATGCCGAACACGCTCGAATGGGAAAAAAAGTAAGAAAACGGTTACCTTCCTAAACGTAACTTCTATGTCGCTTTCCGCCATGTTGTTGACGTCGTAGAAGAACTTGGCGCTCGGCGATGTGATTGGACAGTAGGATTAGACGTCATTAGTCAGCCTCAGAACGATCATGCGACCGTTGGAGTTTTTTTCACTCTTTTTTCGTGTTTTTGGGGTTTTGTGGATACTAAAACGGTAATTATAATTAAAAAAAATCAAAATCATCTCTCTCTCTCTCTCTCTCTCTCTCTCTCCCTCTCTCTCTCTCTCTCTCTCTCTCTCTCTCTCTCTCTCTCTCTCTCCCCCTCCCTCCCTCTCTCTCTAGTGTGTGTGTGTGTGTGTGTGTGTGTGTGTGTGTGTGTGTGTGTGAGAGTGTGTAATATATATATATACACACACACACACACACGTCAGATGGCGCACGCAAAAAAAGGCTCGTGCCGCAATGCTGTGAGTATAACATGTTCCAAGTGAGCCTTGGTTCCCTGGTAAGAGGTATCTGTTTGTCCGTCTATTTCCTTGAAACTGTCGCGTTTCCGAGGGTCCTGAACGTCTCAAATTAAGGGGCGGGCTTAGTAAAGTTTTCAGGAAGCAGTTTCACGTCTCAAACAGAAAGTTGTTTTTTTTTTTCCGGCTTAGTTTTCCAGCTTTTTTCGTCGTTGTTGTTAGTAATTAAGAGTAAAGAGACAGGAAATGCAAAGCAACGCATATGGAGCCCCGCTGGCCGGTGGCGCGTTCGACTTGGAGGGTTTTCTGAAAAAGCCTCAGACGATTCTGCGATGCCTGAGTTGGGTGAGTGCGGGAACACAACCGTTCGTTAGTTAGCATGGCTAGCTGTCAAACAGCTGCTACAGCCGATCACATACTCGATAATTATTTGCAATAAATGAGATAAACTGATGATTGGGCTTGAAAGTTTAGTCAGAGGCAGAAGTTTGCTAAAGCCGGCGTCGATTCGCATGTCTCGTGCTGCATCACGTCATTGCGTCAATGACTTTTTGTTTGTGTTTGATGGCATGTTTCGTCAGTTCTGCTTGTCAATTGCGAGTTCAGGCTAAACGAGGAAGTGAGGCTCCTTTATGCAAAAGAAGGTGTTGCATTTTTATCTGGTGATTTGAGAATCACTATTGTATTCTATTATAGTCATAAATGTGCGGTAGTTAGTTGGTTACAAGCCTTTCGTATTTTTTCCATAATTATACCGATTTTAGTCACATGATCTTTAATCTTGTAACGTTACGATTTTATTTGGATAACATCGCAGCCCCCCCCCCCCCAAAAAAATGTATTATATTTTTGTCCTTGTAAATTTCGGCCTATACAAAGTTTTTCCTGTAATATTTCAACTTTATACTCACTCCGACTTATTGGTATGTTGTTTTTCTTGGGATATTTCAGCTTTATCCTTGCAACATGTGTACATATATTTTGTAACTTTTACTTTTAATATTAGGACTTTATTCTTGTAACTTCACTGTTTGTAAAGCATTCTGACATTTTCTTGGAATATTCCGACTTTATTTCTGCAATGTAATTACTTTTCGCTGGAACTATTTGTCGTAATATTACTTTTTTATAGCGAGAAGGCAATCACGTTTTTTTTTCCTATAATCAGCCTTTTTTTCCGTTTAGTCTCACAACAGTTTGACCTAAATTGTCGTCAAATTGCTACTTCATTTCTCACATTACAGCTTTATTCTCACAATATTCTGACTATTGTCGGAGCACTGCAACTTTATTCTTGGAATATTTCAACTCTTTTGTTCATAAAATCGAAACATTTTGTTTTAATATTAACGTTCTTGTAACAGTGCTACTTTGTTCAAGAAGCATTCAAACTTTTCTCACAACTTTTTTTTTCTTGTAACATTGAAACTATGACTAAAAAATGAAAATGAAACTTATCTACTTGCAAGATGCGAACCTTTTTCTTGTAATCTGCCACTTGTTTCTTCTACAATTATGACTTAAATTGTAGCGACATGGCATCACATCATGACTTTTCATTGAAATATTCTTGTAACATTCCAAAGCTTTAGTCTTTATATGAAGTCTTTATATTTTCCAACTATGATTGACTTGCTCCGCTAGCTCTTTGCCATCGTGGTGTTTGCCACCATCACGGCGGAGGGCTACGTCAACAACTCCTCGGAGCCGGAGCCCACGTGCATGTTCAACCGGCGGGATAGCGCGTGCAGCTACGGCGTGGGGATCGGCGTGCTGGCCTTCCTGGCGTGTGTGGCCTTCCTGGTGCTGGACGCCTACTTCCCGCAGATCAGCAACGCCAAGGAGAGGAAGTACATCATCATCGGGGACTTGGGCTTCTCAGGTGAGATGCCATTTCAAAGTTAAAAGTACAATCTTAGCGGGGTTTAAAAAATGCCAATATTTGGACCGGAACTATTGTGATGTTGCAGCGGCGTGGACGTTGCTGTGGTTCATCTGCTTCTGCGTCCTGGCCCACCAGTGGTCTCGGACCACCAGCCTCGCTGTGCCGGCTGATGCCGCTCGCGCCGTGGTGGCGTTCTCCTTCTTCTCCATCCTCACCTGGGTAAGCCTCGCCTTGCAAAACGAGAGCGCCCGAGCCACCGTTTTGACTCGAGCGCCACCGAAAGAGCCCCTGTACTTTCTGCTTCCAGGCTCTGCTGTCCTATTTGGCCTACGAGCGGTATCGCCAAGGCCTGAGCGACTTGAATCAGCAGTACGCAGACCCCGCTGGGGACCCCGCGTACCCTCCTGCCCCCTACTCCACCGGCAACAGTGGCCCCACCGGCTACCAGCAGTCCCCTTTCTCCGAAAACCAGGAGACTCCCGGAGAGTATCAACCGCCAACTTACTGAAAGACTGACGTTCCCAAAGTCCCAACAGAAAGGAGTGGAGGGTGTTATTTGCCAAAGTCCCATAACAGACACCTCCCTGCCCTCCTCGTTTCTCTCACTGGAACAAGCACGCTTTATTGTGGTGAATTATTATATATTTTTTAATGAGTTGCTTCTCCGGGAGAGAAAAGGAGGGCCCCGCTTCTTTCTTGTCTTTGTCCCAAAACCACTTGAAATCAGCCTCAGTGCGCAGTATCATAACAGAGGTTCGGAAAATACCTCTCACACGGATGTCCCCATTAAAAAAAAAAAAAAAAAAAAACCCTCAACGGCAACAAAAAACTACCACTGTACTCCTTTATTTTATTTAATAATCACTAAGTAATAGATTTTGTGCACTGCATCGGAATCAGTCTAGGAATATTTTTATTCTATCTTAATGTAAATGGTTTTTGGTTGGGAGTCCTATGTTTTTTGGGGGGAGGTGAGGGGGCTTTCAAGCCGAGTGCTCCAAACATTTACTGTGCCAAGTCACATATTTAACATTAGAAATATCTCATGACACAGCAACAAACAAACCAAAATGGCACAAAAGATAACTAACATCACTGTAGGGAAAAAATCTTTTGCATCTCCTTAATGAGAAATTCTCAGGAGATTTAAAAATGAACACCGGTAATATAAAAGTGCCGTCTTGCTCGAGTTATCAAACATCGCATGGTATATACATATACCATTGTGCACTAACATCAACACACCACCTGCTATGCGAATTTAGTATGACTGGTTACGGCTTCCCAAACTTTTTTTTTTTTTTAAGGTCTTTGTGCCATGAGGAGGAGTGTTGTGGGTGGAAATGATTTTGTACACAATGAACCTTCATGGCTGTCCTCTTCCTTCTACATGTATGTCACACTATTTTCCCCGTTTTCATCTGAAAAACACATCCAGACTTTCAATCTTGAGGTGGCATAATGCTGTGTAACTCCTGCAGAGTGATTTCTGAACACTTCCCAGACAGCTGAGGGATTCAAGAGAGTACCTAGATTTGTCCTCGTGCTAGTTTCAATGCTCTGAATTGCGTACAAATAACAGAAGGCGCGGGAACAGACCAGTAGTAGCGAATTGTGAAAAATCCAAAAGCCCATCATCCTCTTATTCGCTGTTTTTGTGCTCAAGACAAAGCAGTCACTTGCTTTGGTGCTACCTTGTCTTATTCGTGCCAAGGAACTACATCGAAGTGGTTTTCGGACCTTCATCAGCCTAAAGTAGTTCTTTGCTGTTGCCGTTTGTCATCGGTCTGGAATTACAAACCTTGCACATTTTTACTGCGTACTCAGCCCCGAACCTGCGTATTCGGTTATGAATGGCAACTTCTATGTACCTTATGTATGATGGTGAAAGAGCACTTATTGCTTCTGCCTATCACTACATGTTGCTAGTAGAGATGGATAAATATTATTTATTGAAGTCGCTAATCATTTTGAGACCAATTAAGTGGAATGGCATCATTTTTCATGGCACATTGGTGGTTGGCAAACACTGCTTGAAGGTAGAAGGGCCACATGATTTGATTTGTGTAATTTGTGTTGCTTTGCTTTTTTTTTTTTTCTGCACGTCGGCCACCATTTGATGACCGCAGTTCATCTGGTCAGGCACAGGGCAATCACCTAACTAACATGCCACTTACTGCATGATGATATTTTTGCTTCTTTGGGACAGTTTTGCCTCTATTGCACTGGAGAAAACACAAACTCAAGTGCCTGACACAGTATTCTCTTTGCCAAATAATAAACATTTTAAAAAGTTGGTTGCTCACCTGTTGGGTTCCTATTGATATCCTCCAACAGGATTGTGTGCAGGCGTCTGCTCCTTGAGCAAATATTTGACTAGTTATTATCTCAATGTGGGGTGAAGCACTGCAGATCTGCAAGATGCATGATGTGAAATGGTTACTGGTCAGTAAATACTGCATTGAAGGATTTTCATATTTTCGGTTGGTCATAGGACACGAGCCCCCAAATTTTCAAATGTAAATTTGGGGTTCTTAAATAATGGAAACGGAAAACCTGGCCATGTCTGTAGCATTTGTTTGTTCCATTTTCAATTGGCAATCGAAAAACGTAGAAGTGACTCAGCGTGTTGTTATTTTTATTTTTTTTAAATCAAACCCAAAGCAACTGTGATACATTCTTCATTTTGCTTGAAACGTTTGCTTCTATTTCCGAGTGCACCCGAAGGCAGCGTTTTCGGCTCGTGTCCATGCGTCGTCAGATGACGTCATCAGCCCGAACCAGGAAGTGCCGAAAAATTGCTGCGGTGGGTTCGGGTCGCGGTGTAAAGCCAAGACGATCGAACTTCGACAACGATGACGCCAGAGTTCCGAGCGAAGGTGGACGGAGAGGTGACGTTTTGAGTGGCTGGTAAGTTTTTGGCCGAACGTGCCAAACGACACCTTTATCACGCTCGTTGACTCCCGAGTGAGCGCGGGAGGCCGGGGGTGGGGGGTTGGGGATGTTTTTTTTTAAAGTCGGAAGCGATCGGCCCGAATGCTTTTAATAGTCACCATTACGTGACTACCAGAACTGGATTTTGGATTGGGCAAAAGCGTCTGGTCTGGTTGGAGCACCGGGTGGCGTCATGGCGCATTTTCATGTCTCCTTTGGCTCCACCGAATCTCATCAATGGCAGCCTTTCCTCCGGGTATCCAAAAGTGACTGATGACTATAAGTGAAATTTCACTTCAACACGAAGCTGGTCCGTCTGCGCTCTTGGAAAACTATCGAAAGGACATTTGCTTCTTAAAAGGCTGTAATAAGAGGATTTTAGACAACGTAGAATTCATAAATCGCCTCGGTTTCATCCACGCTGTCGATAAACTTGATTAAATGAGCTAATCGTTGCCCCTCTAATCTATAGTGTGCTGTCAATGTCGCCCCCATCCCGAGCCACGAAGCAACCAAAAAGTCAATTCGTGAGACACCTCCTCTCTGACCACATTCAAGGCCATGTGCATTGTCACCACGTCCGCTTTCAAAGAATGCAGATTGTGAACTTGAGCAAACGAACACGCCCGCTTTTTGATGAACACGCCCGGTACCGGGACACACGGCATCCATCGTGACACACGAGCGCTTATTTTCACCTGATTTGTTTATAAGGGGGAAAAAATGCGCGCAAGTTCACGGTGGGGCCATGGTTTTGAATCATGTCACTTTGCTTTTCCGTTTAACCCTTGGTTCTCAAACACAAAGTGGCACGAAATAATACTTGGCCGGCTCATTACAACCATGGCAAATAACATTAAAATACAGCACCGTAGTAGGTCTAAGTGTTCCTCTGCAGCCAGGCGGTTTTATTCCAAAGACGTGTCTTCAACAAAGTCCTCGCGTACTTGCACATGCCGCGTGACTGTTGTTCCGCTCCGTTCCATGGCTGCCATGCTCCCCGTTGTCCATTCACAAGCAGGTTAATCATAAAGGTTCTCATGATGTGCAAGCAGTGCAAAGTTTGCTCCCACTCACCCCTCGCACCTTTGGACCCGGCCGCGATCCTTTAAGTGTAGTTAAAGTTCAACGGCGTCGCACTCGCAGGAGTACCCCATGCAGGCCGAGCGTGCCGAGCGACGGGCTGCTCGGAGGAGACGGACAGGTAAGCCCCTTTGTCCCACCGCAGAGACGCTCTTCGCCGCGGATGGGATCGGCGCCGTTTGGCCGGGGGCGCCCCGGCCCTCAAACCGGTGTTGTTTTTGGCAGCCGTTCTACATTTCGTCTCAGTCTTCGTCTTATGTTTATTAGTTTTAGTCACATTTTCGTCATTCCTATTCGTGATAGTTTGAGTGTACGAAAACTCAAAAAGCTTTTACTCTAGTTTCAGTCGACCAATACTTAAAAAGGCTTTCGTCTGGTTTGAGTTCAAACAGGCATATCAGGTTTCCTTCCAGCCCACAACAAAGACTTTCTGATCTGCGAAGCATGACGCCTCACACACAGATAAAGCGGTCACAGCGGAATCGGCGTTCACGACTCCAAAATAAGCCAAGAAGCAAAACATTTTCTTTGTCAAATTGTTGCGGCTAAAACAATGCCAAAATAAAAGCAGCAAAACTGAACTGCATAAAAAGACAGAAAGACACATACATATATATATATATATATATATATATATATATATGCAATCAACAGACAACCAGGGGCACTTGTGAATATTGCAGATTCAATTTAGGTAGTGCATTGTTTCAGTGCAATCAGCGGATATCAGATGCTGAGGGAGGGTCACAGTCTGTGGCTGGAGGTGTGTGTGTGTGGGGGGGGGGGGCTGTTGAACAGGGAGGGAGTCGAGTCTCCTGACCGCCTGGTGGAAAAAACTGTTCTTAGCCTGGTCTATGAAATAACTGAAATGAACCTCCAAATCCAACGTATGATATTACTTGACGAGACAAAAATGGAAAGAAAGAAAGCGAGAGCAAATATGTGTCATCACGAACTGACGTTAAAGTGGTGTTTGGTTTTGGCTTGTCAAAGGTGGAATGCGTCAGGTGAAGTCTCTTGCCCGGTTGACCTTGTACTTCTTGATGAGCTTGTCTTGAATGCTGAGCTAAGCGTCACGTTGAAACTCCAGGGTGTGATTTCCATTCCAATTACGAAATGAGAGTCCAGTGTGGGAGTCGATGCTGAATTAGCTGTGGAAGAAACCAAGAGCAATTCAACTCGGCTCTTATCTATGGGCAAGGTTGGATCAGATGAAGACGAGATGACCGTTGCGCTCGTTTGTGCCGTCAGCCGCTTCAAAGTCGGTTGACCTTGTTTTTTTCTGTCGATAGTAAAAAAAAAAAAGAAAAATCTGAGGCATCCTCCCCAAAAGATTTAGAATTGTCCATATTGAAAAAATGAAACTGTAATTATGACCCCCCGCCCCCCCACCCCAAATTTGACTCATTGCTCATGCCTCTCGCAACATTACCCTGAGAAATAAATGGCTTTGATGTTGAGCCAATGCGCCCGAAGTCTACGTGCTCGGAAGCCCACGAACTGCACAGGATAACCTCGGCTCCTCCCTGATCCAGATGCCAAGACGTGAAATTGCCCGTTTCTCACTTCACGTGTTTCCTCGACACCGATGACTACTTTCCCGTCAGCCGGCGCTTTGGAATCGGCAGCGTCTTTAAGTGTTGGGAGGGTTGACCTTGATCGCAAAGGGCAACTGCGGAGGGGTCGAGCGTACGGCTGACTCGCACTCGGCTATGTTTTCTTCAGGCGAGTCCCGGCCTCCGTCCCCTATGACCTCACCGGCAGCCTACGCTCGACTGGAGCACGATGAGCCCATGAACGGTCTGCGCATCTCTGTCGGGGGTCTCCCCATGCTGGCGACCGTGGCCAACGCCGCGGACCCTCGCTTCCGCCTCAAGTGGCGGCCCATCGCGGCGGCGGCCGTTTCGCTGGCCGCGCTGCTGCTGCTCTTCATGCGTTGGAGCGCCGGGCCGCGCCCCCGCGCCGACGACGCCTCCGGGAGCCGGAGGCCGGCCGCCGCCGGCTACAACCGCACCTACCCGCTCAGCCCGGCCGAGCGCACGCCGCAGGGCACGCGCTACCGCATCGCCGTCATCGCCGACCTGGACGCCGACCCTCAGATGGAGAAGACGCTGACGTGGTTCAGTTACATGCGGCGCGGGTACCTGCTGGTGTCGCCGAGCGGCGACGGGTTGTCGGTGGAGTGGGACGCGGAGAGGACGGTGCTGCGGAGCCACCTGGCCGAGAAGGGGCGAGGCATGGAGCTGTCGGAGCTGGTGGCCTTCAACGGCAAGTTGTACAGCGTCGACGACAGAACGGGCGTCGTCTACCATCTGGACGGCGGCAAGGCGGTGCCCTGGGTCATCCTAGCGGATGGCGACGGCCACGTGGCCAAAGGTCAGCTCCATTCGTGACCATTCTATGCTTGCCTTTGGTTTGTTTTTCGAACGCCGGCGAGAGCGCTTGTCTCCATTTCGCCACGTGCCCATATATGGATACTTATTTGAACACGTCACTCAAGCTTGATTCATCGGGCCCAACCCATGTGACTATTTTGAGATCCAGGCCAATTGCAATATTTGCCGGAATACAATCCCGATTACAAATTAATCGCACGCTGATTAAAATATGATTAATCAAAAAATATCTTTTTTTTTTTTTTTGGTCCCATAACACGACAATAAATAAAAAAATGAATTATAGGCAGACCGTTTGGGTCTTTGACAATACTTTGGCATTTAATAGCGATGATTTTAAGAATCGTTAAACCGTCGATTATTTTATCAATCGATGAATGGGATTCAAAACTAGGTCTCCATCCCTTTCTTAACGAACAGGACACAATTTCAAATTGACAGTACACAATCATTCATGATGATTAAGCGTTACTGGCTCGGTCTTTAACATGTCAGACAATAGGCAAAAATGTAGATGGTTGTTTTCCGAAGCAAAAGCAACGAGCCGTGCCGCAGTACGTCGCCTCGAGATTGAAATTCTGGATGTGTTTTGGGCAATGACTGCAAGTGGCTTAAGATCGGACCGTCTGTCACATTTCAGTGCAGGAGTCAATGGTCATTTGCCAAGGGGAGCGCGTGCCAATTCCTTTGGCGCCTTTGAAACCGCTTCGCCGGCTCGTCCTTTTCTTTCTTAATTGCGGTTCCGCTTAATCCGGAGCGTGACGTCCATTCTCCCGGCAGGTTTCAAAGCCGAGTGGTTAGCGGTGAAGGACGAGCGCCTGTACGTGGGCGGTCTGGGCAAGGAGTGGACCACCACGTCGGGCGAATTTGTCAACGACAACCCGGAGTGGGTGAAGGTGGTGGGCTTCCGCGGGGACGTGGAGCACAGGAACTGGGTCCCGATGTACAAGTCGCTCAAGGCGGTGGCAGGAATCCAACCGCCAGGTCAGATTTTGCAAAAGCACTCGCGTCCCCCACTGAAGACAAAGTGTCAAGAAATACTTTGGTGCAAAAGGCAACCTTAAGTAAAAGAGACGGGTGGGAAAAAAAAAAAGAGGACAGACTCGCAAATGTGCTGAAGTAAAAATACATTTGTTCTCTGTTACATCCCCATTTTTATAATTTGGCAGAAAAAAGCATTTCCACCCCCCTTTGGAACTAATGGAGAAGGAAATAATTGCATTCGTTCAAAGATGCCATTCTGATTCTGCCCTTGTTTTTTTTTCAAATGCCCACCGTCACTTTTTCATCATCATCATCATCATCATCACAATAATAATAAGAGTCGTCATTGGTGTGAATTACAACGCTTTTAGAGGTCAAATTTGAAAACAAAACTGAACATCTCTCAAAAACCTGAAGTGCAACAGAAATTGGTGTCCAAAATACGTCGAGGGACACACAAAGGCATCTGATCTTAAAATGTGCTGTTTTTCAAAATCATTTCCATGAGGAAAGTTGATTTTGAAAAACAGGAGCTTCAAGAGCGCGTGTGCGGTTCGGGAACATTGTCGTCATAGGTCGAGGCACCGCCGCGCCCTACTCCCATTCATCTCTTGCGACATTGACGAACGATCCGGTCCCGCCCTCGGCGGCGACGCATTCCTCCCCCGCAGGTTACCTCATTCACGAGTCGGCGGCGTGGAGCGACGTGCTGCAGCGCTGGTTCTTCTTGCCACGTCGCGCCAGCACCGAGCGCTACGAGGAGAACGCGGATGAGCGGCGGGGCACCAACCTGCTGCTGAGCTGCTCGCCGGACTTCACCGACATCACTGCGAGCCGGGTGGGCCCGCTCGACCTCACCCGCGGCTTCTCCTCTTTCAAGTTCGTGCCCAACACGGACGACCGGATCGTCCTGGCGCTCAAGTCCGAAGAGGACGCGGGGAAGATCGCTTCGTACATCCTGGCGTTTACGCTGGACGGACGCGTTCTCCTACCGGAGACCAAAATCGCTGACGATGTTAAATACGAAGGCTTGGAGTTCATCTGAAAGCCTTCCTCATTTCTCCTTTCCGTTTTCATTTGGCAGTCCCAAAAGGCAAAGGGACGTACGTACATGTGTACAGCTCTGGGAGAAATGAAGACACCTCTGCAAAATTATCGGTTGCTGTCATTTTGAGATCCATGGGGGGGGGGGGGGGGGGTTTTTTTTTTTTTTTAATTGTTTTTTTTTTTTTATTTATTAAGCAATTGACAGCAACTTCCAAATATGAACGTTATCGTTTGGACAAATTAGAAAAAGTGATCACTTTAAAGAAAAGGTCTCTTTTTGCGGGGAGTGTGGTATTAAGGGTTTTCTCTCAGAGCATTCTTACCTTCCTAAAATAATGGGGGAAATAGTTTTTTTCATTTTTCACACAAGGCACAAAAAATGAACCAAATGCGAGATGTATATTTGTAATTTGATTGCTGTGGTAGAATTTCACCATCTGGTCGTGTGTGTGTGTGTGTGTGTGTGTGTCTTGGTGGGGGGGGGTGTAGATATCTACGATAGATACAGGGGTGTAGTGGGCGTGGTACGCGGGGGTACCCGTCCACCCACTTCTCCAGACGCCGCATTCAATTTTTATTGAAATGTTTGTTGATCATTGTTCTAATGTGAGTTATGCTTAATAACGTTGGCCTGTGATTATTTTGGAGTAGTAAAACATTAAATTTAACTTTGGTTCAACTGGTGTTGTAGCCTATGATTGATGTTCTGTATGTATATATAGAACATCCCAGAATCGCGTACACCCACTTAAAACATCCCCACTACACCACTGGATAGATGTACCCTCGGATCAAAGTTGTTAACTTGAAAAATGGGATACAGATGAATTTGATTGTCATGCTTTTGTGACCCGGAAGTTTGGTACTGATCATGTTTGAAGATATGCTAGCTTGTTCCCTGCCACAGTAAGTTAAATGTTCCGGCCATCCCTCTTTTGCATACCAGTTTTGGAAACACGTTGAGAATTGCTGTTCAAGCTTGTATGCAGTCATGTTATCCATGTAAAGACTATTTAATTCTTCAATTATATAACACGGAGGGGAAAAAAAGGCCTTTACATGATAAGCATCAATAGTGTTATCTGGCATTGCAGTCCTGTTGTTCGCGCTCTCTCTCTCTCTCTCTCTCTCTCTCTCTCTCTCTCTCTCTCTCTCTCTGTTTTTATATGTGTGTGTGTGTGTGTGTGTGTGTGTGTGTGTGTGTGTGTGTGTGTGTGTGTATATGTATGTATATATACAGTATATATACTGTATACACACACACACATTATATATATATATATATACATATATATATATATATACATATATATATATACACATACACACACACACACACGCACAGTATATACACGAGCAGCTTTCAACTTTGAGCTCTTCGGTAGGTTGAATCAAACAAACAACGCCATCAGTGCTTGTGTGGTGCAGCTGAAACTTGAGAGTGGGTGAATTGATCCAAAAATAGTGATTACAATGATGGCATTGCCGATGATCAATATAAGAAGGAACGTTAATAAAATTAATTGGACTAGAATTGAACAAAGTGCAGCTCAGCTATGATTGACGATAACTGCGAAAGGGATGCTTGTATCATACATTCACCCGTGAAAAACAAGATCTATGGTTAACATGTATTTTCTATTAACTAAAACTTTGTCCCAATCCTTCCCTGCTTTTTTTTTTTTTCCTCGTTTGGTTGTAATCCAAACGCTCAAAAGTAGTAATTTTGCGACCGGACATCATTAACTCATTTAATGTCGTGTCATATCACGAGCTGTTGAATGAGTCAGGCGCTTCCTTCTCTTCAATCTTCCGTCTGTCAACTCCTCTTCTAAATTATCGTTCGAAATAAAAGAAAAGCCAGCATCTGCGAGTCTTGGAAAGGGCTCCCTCCGGTGGAGACGTCGCCTCATTGCACCCCTCCGATCCATTTGGATAGGGCTTCCCCTCTGCTCCTTGACACCCTTTTGGCGGCCTTTTCGCAGCAGCAAAAACAACGATGGTATTCGGAAAGAATTCTTTGCTGTCATACCACTAGCTGTTAGATGATTTCGGTTTTTATTCCAAATTCGTCCATGGATCAACTTATTCTCCGAAGGCCTGAATATGTCTCCCTCCGGTGGACACGCCGCGCCATCGCACCCCATAAAATCCGTTCGAATCGTCGAAGGTCCGCTTTGTGTTCGTCGACCCGGTTTGGGGAGCCCTTCCTTCCCAGCAGCAAAATCAATGACGGCGCGGGAAAGAATTCTGTACCCTCGGATGACTAACTGTTGGATGATTTCGCTTTTTGTTTCTCCGTTCTTTCGATCAATTCGTTTATTGAAATATTTGCGCACAAAAACAAAGCTCACTCTCCGAAGGCCTGTATGTGTCTCCCTCCGGTGGACGCACCGCGCCATCGCACCCCTCCAAATCGTTTGAATCGTCGACTGTGCGCTTTGTGCTCGTCGACCCGGTTTGGGGAGCCTTTACCAGCCACAAAACTAATGAGGGCACGTGAAAGAATTCTGCCCTGTCGTCTAACCTGCTTTTTGTTTCTTCAGAGTTCCATCGATCAACTCGTTCATTGAATTGTGTACAGGGTACCTCAAAAAAACAAAGCCACAATCTCCCTCCTGTGGACACGCCGCGCCATCGCACCCCTCCAATCCGAATTTCCAGTACAATCACGGTACCACATTAAAAACCAAACTTATGAAAGCAAACTGAAATCAATCTTAGCTGACGATGAAAAGAGAGAAATAACTACTGAAAAAAATAATGTATCCAAAACAAATAAGAACGTAATTGTCACAAAACATGCATTTAAACGCGATTCTTAGTGCTGCAAAGCATGGTGGGAGCTATTCTGCAAAAAAAAAAAAAAAAAAAACACCCAAAACAAAAAAAACAAAAAAAAGCCACAAGAAAACTGAAATCAATCTTTGCTGATTATGAAAAGAGAGAAAAAACAACCGAATAGTGTTTCTAAAACAAATAAGAAAATAATTGTCACAAAACATGCATTTAAACACGATTTTCAGTGCCGCAAAGCATGATGGGAGCAATCCGCAAAAAAAAAAAAAAAAAAAAAATCACAACCTTGAAGGCCTGAGAGTGTCTCCCTCCGGTGGACACGCCGCGCCATCGCACCCCTCCAATCCGAACTTCCAGTACAATCACGGTACTACATTAAAAACGAAACTTATAACAGCAAACTGAAATCAATCTGAGCTGATGATGAAAGGAGAGAAAAAACGACTGAATAAATAATGTATCCAAAACAAATAAGAAAATAATTGTCACAAAACATGCATTTAAACGCAATTCTTAGTGCCGCAAAGCATGGTGGGTGCTCCTCCTTCGACGTCACATGAAATATAAAATGGCTTCCACTCTCGTTCCTTTCTACTTATGTAATGATATTTTGGAAATTAATTAAATGACATTCTGCCACTTCTTCCAATCGTCACGATGTATTTTAAGAAGTTTTTGAAGTTGTACACATTTCTAAATTTGAATTGTCTTCGTGTATTCCAGCATACGCTCGCGGAATGCTGAGCGGGGCACTGTACTTTCCCAGCATTCATTGTGGCACTCACAAAGTATGTAAATCGTGTTTAAATGTTTGTTTTAGGTACGTTATTTCTTTAGTCGTTGCTTTTATTATGTCATTTTTTAGTCATTGTTATGATTGTGTCATTTTTCACTCGTATTTGATTCAGTTTGCTGTTACCGAATGTGATAATTACGAATTTGATGTGACACCTTGACTGTAAAAGGTTATGACGATTAATTTAGTGCCAATGCATCATGATACGGCACTCTGGCGCTAAAGAGTTCATATCTGAGGACTGCCTTTTTAAAGGTGGCCTTGCAACCCTCTGCCGACAGGACGAATTCTGGACAGCCAGGCTGAGACTCCGTTCTAGGCAGCAGTCACGCTACCTCCACGGCGGTGGGCGGGCTGAAGGCCATTCAGGTATCAGGCGCTGGACGAACAGAGGTTCGCGGTCTGGTCTCGCTTTGACGGGTTCATTCCTGGGGCTGCGCCTTTTTGAAGGCGATTTTAAACCCACCCCTCTCTCCGATGAGGAACGTGTACATCCCGAAGAGGTAGCGGCTGGTTCCTGCACCCTCCCACCCCGTCCGGCTGTAGATGTTGGGACGGCCATCCAGGTAAGAGCGGTGCGGCGCGGCTCTCGGTGCGGCGCGGCTCTCGGTGCGGCGCGGCTCTCGGTGCGGCCCGGCACTCGGGGCGG